ACACAAGTAATTAGCCACAGTCTTGCTGCAACCTGTCAGGACTTAGCACCATCCCACTTACCTCTAATACTGGGATTGTTGTTGCATTTGGACCATGAATAATTTAATTCCAGATTCGCATTCTATTTTCTTGTTAAGACCACTTCTGTACCAAAATCCTTAGATTGAGTTTCACCAGAGCTAACCTTGAAAAGGAGATTTGAGTGCAAGTATTCAATAGTTTATTTGGGAAATGCAAGAAACACGGGTAGGGAAGAGGAGATGGGACACAGAGAGTATCAAGTACATGAATGTGAAGAAAGGGGAATCCTTTTATGCTGCTGAGGACTTGAAACTGGTAAGAACATTTTTCAAGGTAAATATTAGAATAGCAGTAAGTTTTTTAAAATATAAATCATATAGCCCAGCAGTACCACTTCTAGGTATATGACATAGAACATTCTGCACCTCTATCTAAGGAAACATGTCTAATTCCACTTCTTATAGAATTTTTATGGTAATAAAAATTTCAAACCACCCCTGAGTAAAGGATTAACAAGATCCTTTCCCCTAAATGAGAAATTTTTATTCACTTTCTACCTTTTTTCATCTGGAAATCTGAAAAATGTGGAATATCAGATGCATTACAGATAACATTGCTATGGCCAAATGGTCTCTTTCTGGTAAATTACGTCTAGACGGTAAGTAAATTATGACTGCTTGGTAGGAAGCCACAGCTTTGGGGCACTGATTTTATAACTGTTGCGGAAGATATTGGTTCCTTTTGGAGCATGAGGCTTCTAAGTCTGAATGGATTATTTGGTCTTATTTCCTCACACCTGAGCACTTGATAAGGGAGAAGGGGAGGGGGACAAATAAAATAGTCCTTGAACTCTTATGTAGACAGCTGAAGGAATTCCCCTTAAAAACACTCCTGCCATGAGGGAAGCCAAAACTTATGTGGCCTATTAAGCTTTGTAAATGATTGTCCAGATGAGCTTAAGATCATCACTGATGATTTTTGCAATATACAAATGTTCATCAAAAAGGAACATATACGAACTGCGAACTGAGGGGTCCCGGGTTCTATTCCGGTCAAGGGCATGTACCTTGGTTGCAGGCACATCCCCAGTAGGAGGTGGGCAGGAGGCAGCTGATTGATGTTTCTCTCCCATCCGTGTTTCTAGCTCTCTATCCCTCTCCCTTAATTCTCTGTGAAAAATCAATAAAATATATATATATTTTTTAAAGGGACATATATTTTAAGATGGGATACTACATAGCTGTTAAAGTAATAAAATATATCTATATGCATAAGTTTTTCTTTTTCTCAAAAATACTTTTAATGAAAAATACAAGTTTTACAATTGCACATACAGTGGGATCGCATTCATGTAAATTTTAAAAACACATCACTACACATTTTTTAGCACAAAAAAAACATATGTATCAGCAATATAAAACATGGATGTGAGAAACAAGTTTGTCTTGGGAAAGAGAGAAATTGAGAAGAAAAATAAAAATGTTTTATTTCCTTTTAAAAAGTTGAAACTTTATAATTAGAGATAACCATATCTATTTTTTAAATATATTTTATTTATTTTTTACAGAGAGGAAGGGTGAGAGATAGAGAGTTAGAAACATTGATGAGAAACATCGATCAGCTGCCTCCTGCACAACCCCCACTGGGGATGTGCCCGCAACCAAGGTACAGGCCCTGGGACCTTTCAGTTTGCAGGCTGATGCTCTACCCACTGAGCCAAACTGGTTTTGGAGAACTATATCTATTAATATGAAAGATATAGATAATATGTTTTCAAAATATGTTGCCATTTTTTCACATAGCAAATATAATTATGTTCAAGTAACTAAGGGTTTCATTTTTCTCCTTAATATATTATGTATTATGTGAAAGTTTTTCACAATGATAGAATAATTATATAAATGAAACAAACTTTGATATCTCAGGCAAGGTTGCGACTGTCAAATATGGAAAGTACTTGAGGTCCTTAGTACCACAAGTTATATCTCCTCTGTCGTCAACCTCAGTTTGGAATTGAAAGTAATTGGTGAATTTATAGTCAAGATGGGAGGATAGATAAACCTGGTACTTGCCCTCCCACAACCACATCAAAATTACAACTAAACTATAGAACAACCATTATTCAGAACTGCCTGAAATCTCACTAAATGGAAGTCCTATAACTAGGGAATCTTATCTAATAAAAGAGTAATATGCAAATTGACCATCACTCCAAAACACAAGATGGCCACCCCCATGTGGACACAAGATGGCCAGCAGAGGAGGGCAGTTGGGAGAGACCAGGCCTACAGAGGAGGACAATTTGGGGAGCGGGGGGTGATCAGTCTGGCAGGGGAGGGCAGTTAGGGGTGATCAGATCAACAGGGGAGCAGTTAGGGGCAATCAGGCCATCAGAGGAGAGCAGTTAGGGGGCAATTAGGCTGGCAGGAGAGCAGTTGGGGGGGAGGGGGGCAATCAGGCCAGGAGGGGAGGAGTTAGGGGCGATCAAGCTGGCAGAGGAGGGCAGTTAGGGGTGATCAGGCCAGCAGGCAGAGGCAGTTATGGGAAATCAGGCAGGCAGGCAGAGGTGGTTAGGAGCAATAAGATAGGCAGGCAGGTGAACAGTTAGGATCTAGTGGTCCTGTATTGCAAAAGGGATATCTAACTGCCAGTTTAGGCCCAATCCCAAGGGGTCCCAGATTGGAGAGGATGCAGGCACAGCTGAGAGACCCCTTCTTCCCCCGTGTATGAATTTCGTGCACCAGGCCTCCAGTCCTATATAATAAAAGCCTCATATGCTAAGTGTTCGGTCCCCCAGTTATCCGGTCATCCATTCAACCAATCAAAGCATAATATGCTAATGATATGCTAAGGCCACTCAACCGCTTGCTATAACGAGCACTGACCACCAGGGGGAAGATGTTCCAACCAGTAGCTTAGCTTGCTGCTGGAGTCTGGCCAATCAGGACTGAGCCACACAGGGCGGACATGCCCTGGAGCCCTCCTGCAGTCCCTCCCCAGCTGGCCAACTTTCTGCATCCCTCCTGGGCCTGGTGATTATGCACCAGTGGGGTTCCCTTGGCCTGGCCTACACCCTCGTGCAATATGGGACCCCTCCGGGGATGTCAATGAGCTCATTTGGGGTTGATCCCACTCAACGTAGGATCTGCCCCCTAGTGGTAAGTGCACTCCCACTGGAAGTGCACGCCACTCAGCCAGAAGACGGGCTCACGGCTGGTGAAAGCAGTGGCGGTGGTGGGAGCCTCTCCTGCCTCCACAGCAGCACTAAGGATGTCCAACTGCCAGTTTAGGCCCACTCCACTTGAACATCCCCCGAGGGCTCCCGGGCTGCAAGAGGCCAGGCTGAGGTACACCCCCACACACACAAAGGCCTCTAGTATTCGAATTACTAGGTGTGATATTTGATTGGTATGAGATTTATGAGGATGATCACTTAGTACATTAAGAAATGTAGAATCACTGCAGTGATATAATTTAATAATGTATGTCAATGCTAATTAAAAAATAAAAATTATCTAATGAAAAAAAGTAAAATAATTTGAAAAAGTGAAATTGGCATTTCTTCTTCTGATACATACTTAGAAAATACCCACTTATGATCATTTTGGGTTATGGAATTCAGTTGGTGACTATAAGTGTCATAAACTTAATCAGCTTCTCAAAAATAAAACATTAAATTAACAATAATTATTATGAATGTTTTTATGACACCTTCATTTTCAAAAAGCTTTCAAATACATATAACACAAGTAGCTTCATTTTCTAAAAGCTTTCAAATACATATAACATATGATTTGAAAAATAATTCTGATTCCTACTGGTGTCCCCCTTCACTGAGGTAAATCACTAACCACAATACACTATTATTATTCTCTATATCTTTAAATTTCTATAATCTTAATCTCTTAGCCATTACAGCATCAGGATGTATAACTAAAAAGCCCAACCTCCGTCCACTTTCCTTTACTCTCCTTTGAAGTCATTAACTTCCAAGACTTTAGGTACTGTTCTTAATACAAATTCTTGTCATAGAGTTTTTTCATTCTAGTCAAGGAATGATCACATGCCTTCAACATTTTACTTCCCACTGAAATTCTTTTTTATAATGTTCTTTTTTAATTTTTTTATTATTATTTGTTATTATTGTTGTTAATCCTCACCCAAAGATATTTTTTCATTGATTTTTAGGGAGAGTGGAAGACAGGGAAAGACAAAGAGAGAAACATTGGAGTGAGAGAAACACATCGATTGGTTGTCTCCTGCACAAGCCCAGACCAAAGCCTGGCTGGGGTGAAGCCTGCAACCAAGATACATGACCAGAATTGAACCTGGGAGCCTTTGGTCCACAGGCCGATGCTCTATCCACTGAGCCAACTCAGCTAGGGCCCACTGAAATTCTTAATCAGTATATTTTCAAGGGCCAGATTTTGATAGCCTTTACACCTTGCAATTTCAATGCAAAACAGATGAGAAGCAACTTCTGATATTTTAACAGTGAAATTATATGAAAAAAAGAATACAAGTACAAAAGAAACAATGATGGCCTTTGTGAGAAATTGACAAAAGTTACTATCCCACCAATTTTGAAGAGTTCTGGTGTGAATTTACAGAATTTCAGATATCAAAAAATAGGAATCTATTGTTATAATTGGGAAAAAATAAAATGATCTCTAATTTAAAACAAATAGAATTTGACATGTATATTTAGCATCCCCTCTCTTTTTATAGTCCTTGGAGAAATACTAAAAATGTTGAGTTATTCACTCTTCCTTCTGCAATATTGTTAATAAGTTACTAAAATCTGCATAAGCATGGAGTATTCTAAGCTATTCGCCATCCGAATCACGTCCTCCTTCCTAAATGGGGCATCTAAAAATGAAGGAAAATAACCGTCATGGGATGGAGCAGAGAAGATTCCAAGAAAGTATCTTAAAATTACCACGTTGGGAAGGTAGTAAGTTTGTGAGAATGAAGTAAGTCATCCAAAGGACTTCACTTTTGTTTTGAATTATTAAAAGATAAAATGATGAATGAAAAGTAAATTTCTCCAGTACCAAGTCCCAACTCTCAGATCCAATCATTAAACTGTGTCCACCTCATCCTGGCTCAGCACGCCCCTGAGCATCTCTACAATATGTAATAAGAACACCGTGTCTTCTACTATGTCAGAATCCAAAATATTCCCGGTGCAGTTCTCTTCCCTCATGTCTCACAGAGTTTGTGTTCAGCTCCTCATGCAGTTCCCAGCACTGTGGCACTCACAGCACAGAAGTACTCAGCTGAGTCACTCCAATGAGCAAAGTGTTTCCTCAGGTTGAAGGACGACTCATTCTTCCTAAGTTCAGCCTCAAAATTCTTAATGCCTTTAACCAAGGTGTCCCCTGAAAGGTACTTGAGTAGAAGCTGGAGGCCTTGGCTGCGGTCTTGGACATACCAGTAGAAAGACACGGCTCCAGTGTACTTGCACCTCAGCTCCAGTGAGTCTCCTTCAGAAACACTGATGTGGTTGTCAGGCTGGGTCACTGACTGGGCTCTGGCGTCTCCTGCAAAAATCAATATTATATCAGTGAAAGCAGCACAGACTTGACTCTGAAAAGTACTTCTGCTAAAATTCAAACAAGAAAACAGTTACTTCAGTGGAACTAGAGACCATAATAGACTACTACTCACTCGAGGTAAAAAGCATCCCCAGGACTGCGACGAGCAGCAAGAGCATGTCTGAGCAGTGGAAATATTGCCAGCTTCTTTCTGGAAGTTCTCCCTTCAGCATGCAGGAAAGCAGCTGTGGAATTCAACTCTCAGAAATAAGAGGTGTGAGTAAGATTAGGCTATAAATCCCTGGTTCAGGTGAAAACACAAAAAAATACTAGATTATCTCGTGTGCTTTCTAATCTCTGATTCTTCTCACTTGTCTCTGTCTTCAAAGAACTCAATAGGCCAGCTGCAGGAAGGAGGAGCTGAGGGGAAGATGCTGATCTTAGAGACACAGGGATCTCTCCTTTGTGCAACATCGCCCCCTGGAGACCAGATACAGGACCAAAGATCCAGACCCTCCACAGGAAACTAACCTTTTCTTTCCATTTAGAGATAGATTAAAAGTTCCATGAATATGTTTCTTTCTTACAAAATATATTGTTAGGGTCGGAAATAGAATAGTGGGGACTAGCTATAATTATAAGAAATAGTAATCATGCTCTGTTAACTGCGATTGTTCTGTTCGAATTAGAGAAAGCACGTTCTAACCTGGCTGAGAGTTGTACGCTTTGGAACATGGAAATTAACCTCGGAATGCAGTCAGTCCATTCTCATTATCTGAGAACTGCCTATCATCGTGGAAAGATTAACAATCTTGTTGCTGAAACAATTTGGTCCCAGAGGTGCCTGCCAAAACCCTCATTACCTGTAACCTGTAACCATTATACCTTGCCTACCTCCCTGTAATTTCTATTTTCCCATGTAACCTTTGTCCTTCTACCTAATATAAGCAGCTGGCTTATGAGAAAGGATAAAGCAGATTTTCGTGGATGACCTGCTGCTCTCCTATACTGCTGACATTCTTAGAATAAATGCTCATTTATGATTTAACCTTGTCTCTGCTTAACTGGCTCAAGTAGTGACAAGCAGCCCAGACCTGGTTGCCCGATTTCAATATGATATATCACTCTCTGTAGATTTTATTAATCCTTGGCTCAATGAAAAATGGGGCTTATAAAATAGAGGAGTAGTTTATTTTACAAAGAAACTGACTTATACAGTAAGTCTATCAGACTTTGGAGTACATTAGTGCCTTTATGTAAAAGCAATGGAGCCATTCTTTAAGCAGAGATAATAAGATCAAACGCATTAGGCAGTGCTTTGGATGGCCTTGCTGGCATTAAGCATCAGACTGAGAGAAATACATGCTAGGATGTGAAGATATTTGCCTTGGATGGTGAAATTAAAAATAAAAATAATGTACAGACACACACACACAAAAAAAAAAAACAGATTAGAGCACAAGCCCTCATCTATAAAAATGAAGTAAGAATATCTTTGTCTATTCAAGCAGAATTATGAGGATATAGTGGCTTTTGATTAACAATAATAATATAATATTCAGATAAAAAAGTAAAATCCCATTAGTATCTGTTTAGAATGACTGGAATATTACCCCCCAATTCTGGGTATCACATTATTAAGACAATAGTGATAGACTTGAATATCTACAGACAAAACAGTAAAATGGTGAAGTCACTGCACAGTAAAAACATAAGTAATTTTGGAAATAATTAAGGGCACAGTAAAAATATATCTGCAGGAGATTCGTGCACAGGGGCGGGAGGGTTTCCCTCAGCCCAGCCTGCACCCTCTCCAATCTGGGACCCCTCGAGGGATGTCTGACTGCCCGTTTAGGCTTGATCCCCTCCAGGATCGGGCCTAAGCAAGCAATCGGACATCCCTCTCACAATCCAGGACTACTGGTTCCCAACTGCTCGCCTGCCTGCCTTCCTGATTGTTCCTAACCACTTCTGCTTGCCAGCATGATCACCCCCTAACCACTCCCATGCCAGCCTGATTGATGCCTAACTACTCCCCTGACAGCCTGTTTGCCCCCAACTTCTCTCCTCTGCCAGCCTGGTCACCCCTAACTGCCCTCCCCTGAAGGTTTGATCGCCCCCAACTGCCCTCCCTTACAGGCCTGGTACCTCCCAACTGCCCTCCCTTGCTGGCCATCTTGTAGTTGCCATCTTGTGTCCACATGGAGGCAGGATCTTTGGCCACATGGGGGCAGCCATATTGTGTGTTGGAGTGATGGTCAATCTGCATATTATTCTTTTATTAGATAGGATAGAGGCCTGGTGCATGGGTAGGGGCCAGCCAGCTGGTTTGCCCTGAAGAGTGTTCTGGATCAGGGTGGGAGTTCCCTTGGGGCATGGGGAGGCCTGAGTGATGGGTCTGTGGTGGTTTGCAGGCCAGCCATGCCTGAGTGATGGGTCTGTGGTGGTTTGCAGGCCAGCCATGCCCCCTGGCGACCCAAGTGGAGGCCCTAGTATCTGGAATTTGCTTACCTTCTACAATTGAAACTTCGTAACCTGGAACGGAGCCAAGCCTCCTGCTCGCTCTGTGGCCGGCAGCCATTTCTATTGGAATTTATTTAAATTCTATAATTGAAATTTTGTAGCCTTGAGTAGAGGCTTAGGCCAGCAAGGACAGGCAGAAAGCTTGGCTTCTTCCATTGCCTGGGAAACCCAAGCCTCCCTTCTGCTCTCTGTGGCCGTAGCCATCTTGGTTGGGTTTATTTGCATAATCTCTCTGATTGGCTGGTGGGCATGGCTGGTGGGCATGGCTGGTGGGTATAGCAGAGTGATGGTTAATTTGCATATTACTCTTGTTTTTAATATATATTTTATTGATTATTTTTTTACAGAGAGGAAGGGAGAGGGATAGAGAGTTAGAAATATCGATGAGAGAGAGACATCAATCAGCTGCCTCCTGCACACCCCCTACAAAAGATATGTCAGCAACCATTGTACATGCCCTTGACCGGAATCAAACCTGGGACCTTTCAGTCTTCAGGCCAATGCTCTATCCACTGAGCCAAATCGGTTTTGGCAGTATATTACTCTTTTATTAGGAAGAATTATCTAGAATCCTAGAGTGCCAATAGCAGACCAGAGCTAAGAAAAACTTCTGAGAGGAATAAGATATGGAAGCAATTTTCTTCCAATGAAATCTAATATATTATAGGTAAACACCCAACTATTTTATATGGATGAAAGTCAGATTAGTATTGGATTATGGCCAAATAGCAAGTGTAATTCTGAAAAGAAAAAGAAAAAGAAATAAAAAGCTTTTTCTTCCACCCACTTCAGCTGAAAAAGTAACCAACCAGGAGATCAATTTCAGGGAACATGAGTGAGGGGCGGGGGGGGGGGGATATTTTTCCCTCTACCTTTCCAGGTTCTTGGCTAAGATCCCTGTAATTAAAGCCAGATTAACAGTAGAAAAGCAAACAGAAATTTAATAACATGTATACCTTCTATATACGTAGAAGAGACCCAGGAAAACCAAGTAACTCCTAAAAATCACCCGAGTTATCATCTTAAGCACTATCTTCATCTCAAGACCAAAAAATGATTAGATGTTGGGGGGAGGGGGGCCATTTATGGGAGGTTTTCAGACAAAGCACAATAAGCAAGGATATAGTTGTTGTGCAGATTTAAGACTCTCCCCTTCTCTGTTCCTAAGTGTTTTTAGAGACTGTCATCCTCCTCTTCCAGACACATTTACAAATGAAGATTACCTTTATACAGTAAATGAAAATGTCTCTTAAAAAAGCTAACTTCTACTCAGTTTTCAGAGCTTCCGTGTCTGCTGATTCTTAAAAATAATCAGCTCAAAATAATCCTTGTGTCAAAGAGAGAAATTTGGGGTGGCACATTCTGCTCCAGTCCTATAGAAATGACATTGTGGGGTTACAAAAATTTTCATCAACTCAGAACTCATCCCCTAAAATGAGAAGGTGCAAGTTCCCTCTTTTCAAAAGTTATATGTAGACACACTCAACTGATACCACACGCATTGTGAACAAAGGCTCTACATCTATCTGTGATGCTTATGACTTACGGCATGTTGGCCAATATGGCATACTTATCTGTTCACAAGATGACTAATAACAAAAAATACAGGTCAATGGAAACTACATCAAAATAAAAAGCTTTTGCACAATAAGAGAAACCATCAACAAAACAACAAGAAAGCCCACTGCATGGGAGAACATATTTGCCAATGTTATCACCAGTAAGGGATTAATCTCCAACATTTACAGGGAACTCATACAACTTAACAAAAGGAAGATAAATAACCCAATCAAAAAATGGGCAACGGACCTAAATAGATACTTTTTGAAAGAAGACATTAGGAAGGCTAAGAGACATATGAAAACATGCTCAAATCACTAATTATCTGAGAGATGCAAATCAAAACGACAATGCGGTACTATCTCACACCTGTCAGAATGGCTATCATCAACAAATCAACAAAAGACAAGTGCTGGCAAGGATGCAGAGAAAAAGGAACCCTCGTGCACTGCTGGTGGGAATGCAGACTGGTGCAGCCACTGTGGAGAACAGTATGGAGTTTCCTCAAAAAACTAAAAATGGATCTCCCATTTGACCCAGTGATCCTACTTCTAGGAATATATCCCAAGAAACTAGAAACACCAATCAGAAAGGATATATGCACCACCATGTTCATAGCAACACAATTCACCATAGCTAAGATTTGGAAACAGCCTAAGTGCCCATAAGCAGGTGAGTGGATTAGAAAACTGTGGTACATCTACACAATGGAGTACTACACTATAGGGGGGCGGGGGTGAAAGGTGCAACCATTGTGGAGAACAGTATGGAGCTTCCTCAAAAAACTGAAAATGGAACTCCCATTTGACTCAGTAATCTCACTCCTAGGAATATATCCCAAGAAACTAGAAATACCAATCAGAAAGGATACATGCACCCCTATGTTCATAGCAGCACAGTTTACAATAGCTAGGATTTGGAAACAGCCTAGGTGCCCATCAGCAGATGATTGGATCAAAAAACTATGGTACATTTACACAATGGAATATTATGCTGCCATAAAAAAGAAGGAATTCTCATCATTTGCAGCAACCTAGATGGGATTGGAGAACATCATGCTGAGTGAAATAAGCCAATCAATGAAAGAGAAACACCACATGACCTCACTCATTTATGGATGATAAAGAACATTATAAACTGATGAACCAAGAGACAGATATAGAGACAGTAAAGCAACAAGCAGACTGTCAAATTACAGCAGGGAGGGTAGGGAGATCTGGGGTAGATAAGAGATCAACCGAAGGACTTGTATACATGCATATAAGTACAACCAATGGACACAAAACTCTGCGGAGGGGAGTATGTATGGGAGGGGAGGCGATGGTATATGTACACAGATAATAATTTAATAAAAAAATTTTAAAAAAAGATTTGCAAATGCAAGATATTATTGACAAAGCATTTCTTTTTTATTTTTAATGTTATTTTATTTTAGTTAGTTTAAATTCATTTATTTAATCTTTAGTATTGAGAGTATTACAAAAGTCCCCATTCTTCCCCCATTAACCACTTCCAGCCCACTCCAGCCCCCACCCCAGGCCCTCACCACCCATTGTCTGCGCCCATGGGTAATGCTAATATGCATGCATACATGTTCATTGGTTGATCTCCTTCTACCCTCCTTCCCCTGCCTTCCCTCTGAGGTTTGACAGTCTATGCCAATGGTCGGTAAACTGCAGCTTGAGAGTCACAAGCTGCTCTTTGGCCCCTTGAGTATGGCTCTTCCACAAAATATCTGTGCTATTGAAATGTACAGTGCAATTGAAACTTGGTGGCCCATGTGCAGAAGTCGGTTTTTGGATCTCAAAGGAAATTTCAATCATTGTACTGTTGATATTTGGCTCTGTTGATTAATGAGTTTGCCAACCAATCATATGCAATGCTTCTAGGTCTCTGAGTCTATTTTTGTTCATCAGTTTATTTTGTTCACTAGATTCCACATATGAGTTCTTGACTTTACAATTTTGAATCCAGCCCAATGCAGATTGTACCAATATCTCCCTAAATTGAGTATCAAAAGTTGTATATGTACATAGAGATTAAGTTTAGTAAAGATGTTAAGAATATAGGTCTATATAAACCATTGTAATATATCTTCATTTTGTAAAACAAAAAAAAAAGCATATGTGTAAATATTAAATAACCTATTTGTTTAAAAAAAAAAAAAAAGGAATTCTTACCATTTGCAACAGTATGAATGGAACTGGAGAGCATTGTGCTAAGTGAAATAAGCCAGTCAGAGAAAGATAAATATCACATGATCTTACTCATTTATGGAATATAATAAACAACATAAATTGATGAACAAAAACAGATCCAGAGAAGCATTGATCAGACCATCAAACCTCAGAGGGAAGGTAGGGGAGGGTGGGGGTAAGGGGTAGATCAACCATAGCACTTGTATGCATGCATACAAGCCTAACCAATGGCCACAAACACTAGGGGGGTGAGGGCATGAGTTGAGGGGAGATATGGGGAGATAAGGACACATATATAATGCCTTAATCAATAAAGATTACAGGTCATTTTTTTATCCTATCCTTATCATCATCATCATCATTATTTGGTGCTGTTTAAAAGGATCTCAAAAAATATGGGGTTATTTTTTTTATGTAATTGTTTAAGAGGAATGTGATTAGCTCTATATTTCTCATGCTGTTCTGACCTAGTCACAAAAAACTGGGCAGAATTAACTGTCTCAGAAAATAATAATAAATAAAGCAAATCCTCTTTCCCTGGGCTTGGGCATTCTTCAAGGCATTTTGTTTTGGTTTATTTCTTTTTTTGTTTGTTTTTTCTAATCCTCACCTGAGGATATTTTTATTGATTTTTTTTCAGAGAGAGAAAACAGCAACCACAAATAAATAAAAATAGAAAGAGCGAAGAGGGGAGAAAGAAAAAGGGAGAGACATTGTTGTGAGAGAGAAACATTGATTGGTTGCCTCCCAGCCTGGGATCAAACCTGAAACCTAAGTATGTGCCCTGACTGGGAATCAAACCCATAGCCTTTTGGTGTAGTGAACGATGCTCCAACAAACTGAGCTGCCTGTTTTATTTTTGAAAAATTATACTCTGAATTTCATAGCTGGCAGAAGCTTGAGAATCACATGTTTAAGCCCATCATTTTCATTTTCTCAGATATATATAATTTATTTTTATTTCAGAGAGAGGAAGGAAGAGGGAGAGAGGGATAGAAACATCAGCGATGAGAATCATTGATCTGCTGCCTCCTGCACGCCCCCTACTGGGAGTCCATTCTCAATCAAGGCATGAACCCTGCAAATCTCATGAGTTGCTCAGTCATACAGTTAGTTTTGGAACACTATGACTGTTAGATGGATCCCCACTCCCAGTCAGCCAGTGCTGCCTTGCATCTTTATCCCTTTCAAATACATTAACCCCCGCTTTATTTTTCCAGGAACCGTCGCAAGCTTTTGAGGGACTGCACAGACAGCAGCTCTGGTGAACTGTGGATGGTTAGCAGGATTTGGGTGCAGGAAGTGGGTGGCAGGGCCCTGCTGTGTGTCTGCAGCGCAGAGGTAGGTGGCTGAGTCTGCCGGGTGGGAGGCTGTGATATAAAAGGAGCTCTGTTTGACGGTGGTATCAAAGGTGGCCCTCCATCTTCCGGCTAGTTTCGATGGCTCGTTTTCACGTATTAATAGCAAGAAGATGGGGCCTGTTCCCGGATCTTGTCGGTACCACTGGATGAACGCTGGAGAAAAATTTGCATAACTACAGGTCAGAACGGCCTTTTCACTCTCCTGGATGCTCAAGGTCTGAGGATTCTGTTCCACTTTTTGGCTCCTCAACCCTAGGTAGAAACACAATGCCAAAAGAAGAAAAAATAAAAAAGTTTTTGTCACTACACTGAGTCATTTTTTTTCTTCCCACAACCCCAGAGATAACCAAAGAGTCAGCGGAATGGATCCTGGCCCTTTCCCTTCCATCCTATGGGCTATGTCCCCGGATCCCTCCTTCCTCATCGCCGGGAGCCTCCAACTCACAGTCCACTGAAAGCCACAAAATCACCAAAAGAACTCGCAGAAACAGCCCCATTCTCTCCCCAGCTAGGACCTAAAAGGTGAACGCAGCCCCTCAATCAAAAGCAGTTCTCTCTCCTGTGGAGGGTGTTACTCGGGTTATTCTTCCAGGGGAGGATGTCTCTGTTCCTGCCTGTCCAATCAGCGACAAGCTGTTCAGTCTCCCACACACTTCAAAGAGCTTTGCTTCAAATCCGAGGAAGGATCTGAAGAGATAGGAAACACTGCCATCTTGTGTTCAGAAGGTTTTTAAAATACAATAATGGAATATTCTGTAGCAGTGTTTCCCAAACTTTTGACATATGTGTACCCCTTCTATAATTTTCGTAATGCTGAGTACCCCTCATACTCATGAGAACGTAGAATTAGGCGCAGCTAAGCACGGTGCAATGCATATCCCCACCAAATTCCGGTGCAACACGTACCCCCACCAAACTTCCCTTACCCCTGGGGCGACACATACCACACTTTGGGAAACAGTGTAGGGCAAGCCTGTCAAACTCAAAGGCTAACCTGGGCGGAATAAACAAGGTTTAAGTTTATGTGGGCTGCAAAAAAACAAAAGCTTAAATTTTCATAGAAATGTAGGTTTATTTCGATAGAGACATGCTGAATACAAAGGGCTGAAATAAATGAGTAATCCTTAACATGAAATAATAGAACATTTTAATAAAAATTAATATTTTTTTCTTGAACATTAACTTACCAGACACTGAATAACTGCCCAAATTAATAAGTGCAATGCAAGTAAACCTGTTTTTCTTGTTCTCTGAAAGCGAAATATTTCCCATTGGGCACACCAAACAAGTCAGTCCAAGACTAATGACTTGGCAATCGGCTGCTAAAATATTTGCTGCTAGTATTAGTGGAAAGAAGTGGTGCGCCTGTGCATAAGGCCTATAAGGGAAATGAATGCAAAACAATTATAGTAATCAGTCATTAGCGAACGTTGTAATTAGTTATTAATAACTAGAGACCCGATGCACAAATTTCTGCATGGGTGGGGTCCCTCAGCCGGGCCAGCGATCAGGGCTGATTCAGGCTATCTCACCCAGTCCCAACTGGGGCCGTTTGGGGCCGATTAGGGCCAGCCAGCCAAGGGGAGGAACTGCAGGAGGTTGGCTGTGGGAGCACACTGACCAACAGGGGACAGCTCCTTCATTAAGCACCTGCCCCCTGGTGGTCAGTGTGTGTCAAAGCAACCGATTGTTCAGTTGACTGGTCATAATGGTCACTTAGACTTTTATATATATAGATTTTGTATAACAAGTTGTAAAAATTAAGTTACAAAATTTTTTATTAAAACATTTTGTACATACCATTACATTGGCTAGGCTGCAAAAATATTCATTGTGGACCTCATATGGCCCATGGATTGTGAGTTTGACGTGCTTGCTATAGAGCAATGCTTCTGTCTTAATGTGCTGATGAATCACCTAGGGATTTTGCTAAAACGCAGATTCTGTTTCTTTAGGTCTGAGTGGGGCTGGATAGTCTATATTTCCAGCAAGCTAACTGGAAATGTTGGTGCCACTGGTTCTTGGGTCATACTTTCAGTAGTAATTGTAGAAGAATGCTTGTTGAGTCCCAATAGTACATGGAAAGGGAATTGGCAGTATTAAGGTTTGATACAGGGCAAATAATCAAGTATTTCAAGATGTCCATTACAATGCCCAGTCAAATTATTTCATTGTTCCCACAACAGTTGCCTGAGGATATCATGAGCAGTAGATAATGTAAAGCACAGGAGAACACCTGGTTGAATTCTAGGAAATTTTCTCAGATCCAAGGAGAGAACCTCCTCTCTTCACTACTATTAGCCTCCCCACAAGTAGAAAAATTATCTTTCAAAAGGTCTTTCTTCTTTATCTTATTGGGCTAGCACAGTAAATATTCTCTTTAAATCCAACAAGGACTTAAATCAGCACTTCATTTAAAATGCTCTCTGAAATTCCCTGTAAATTGTTTCTTAAATACAACAGTTCTCTGATTGCTTATATCAGAATTTTTTTTTCTACTTTGCTGATACCAAGATGGATGTAATGTAGTCATCTCCTCAAATATATTCAGGCCTTTCTCTGACCAAGTAATAGAGGATAGCTAGATGACAGTCATCTAGGGACATACATGAATATATGGAAGAGAGGGAGAAGAGAATGGGCTAAAGTATAATGAAACATAAAGCTGGAGGAGAAGATTGTGAATGCCTGAATTTGTAGATTATTTATTAGCAAAAAATACTACTGATACTTTTGAGCAAGTGAGTGATATTATGAAAATAGAACTCTACACATTTAAGCTGGCTACTTGTCTATAAGAGTAATTTGGGATGATAGGTTGATAGGCATTGTGTAGTGATCGTTTTTTTAGTCTTCACCCATTTGTTTTGTTTTGTTTTGTTTTGTTTTGTTTTGGTGGGGGGTTTTGTTTGTCTTTGGAGGGGTTTTGTTTTTGTTGTTTTTTGAGAGAGAGAGACAAAGGGAGAGGGAGAGAGAGAGTGAGCAATGTAAGAAACATCAATCAGTTGCCTCCCATATATAGATACACACCCCAACCAAGTACCAAACCTGCAACCTGGGTAAATGCCCTGACCCGGAATCAAACACATGAACTTTTGGTGTATACCAAATGATCATACTAGCCACGGCTGGAGTAATCTTTAAAAGGTTGTGCTCCAGCCTCTAACTGACCTGGTTTTGAAATCCAGCTCTTCCACTTAATCTCTCTCACTGAGCTTGAGCAAGTTATTTAATGTCTTCAAGTGCCAATTTCCTTATCTGTAAAATAGGGACACCATCAGAATATTATTAAGAGGAATACACAGACTACTATATACAAAGTGCTTTGTATGTATAGCATACAAAATTTCATACTCAAAATCTGAACTATTAATATAGCAAAAAGAATACAATGGAAATTGCACCAGTTATGAGGTCATTGTTGAGGTATAGGTGACTAAATCAGGGTCATGAACTTCAGAGCTAGGAGGAATTTTAGAGAATGTAGAGAAAATGATGCATTAGAGAGTATAAATCAAATAAGGTTCATATTTTGTAAAATATATAAAATAGTTTAAAAAGAGAACAATCATTACTTATCCTATCAAGTAAGTATATACATTATTGTAGGGAAGGAAAACTTTCCTTCTTCTCTTCTAGGTTCTTTGGCTGGCCTAATATTTAAATTGACATAGACAGCCGAAACCGGTTTGGCTCAGTGGATAGAGCATCAGCCTGCGGACTGAAAGGTCCCAGGTTCGATTCCAGTCAAGAGCATGTACCAGGGTTGTGGACACATCCCCAGTAGGAGGTGTGCAAGAGGCAGCTGATCAATGATTCTCTCTCATCGATGTTTCTAACTCTCTATCCCTCTCCTTTCCTCTCTGTAAAAAATCAATAAAATACATTTTTTTAAAAATGAAAGCATGACTAATTTAAAAATAAATAAATAAATAAAATAAATTGACAGAGACAGATTAACAGGAGAAAAACAAATTCTGTATGTATGGAATCCCCATAAAAATATGAGATTCCCTGGCGATCAGGTGACTAACTTATATACCAATCTGAGCCGAGAAGAAGGGGATAAGGATCGGAGCTTCAAAAGGAAGAAAAGTAACTCACAAGAAGATGAGAAGAGCAAATGTTTGGTAAACAAATCTTTGCCATGGTGTGCAAATAAGTTTGTCTGATATAAAAAGTTGCCTCTGGTAGTAGCTCTCTTTCTGGTGCAGGCCCCCTAAGCAGTGAAGGGGAGTAAAAAGTTCTTCCTGAGTCTCCTGCGTCCTAGTTGTCTTCGGTTCGAAATAATCCACAAGTCAAAGTGGGACATGGCAAGGTGACGTATTCTGCTCCTCTAATTATCAATATCTTGGTGTATTACTTTCCCTAACACAATTCATATTTTTACTAAGTAGCAATCATACCAGTTAATATCTTGAATCTTTACACAATTCATATTTTTACTAAGTAGCAATCATACCAGTTAATATCTTGAATCTTTTCAATTTCTACTTTTAAATAATCATTACAGATTCTTATTATAAATATCATTAATTTGCTATATAATATTTTACTTGAGTTATTAAGTCTTTCCCTTTTAAGATTCGACATTTTGATTTTCACATAAATAACTTTTCAAATATATTTGTAAATAATTTTTTATTATGCACTGAGGGTCTCCAGAAGACAGATTCCTCAGAGAAAATTATAGCAAAGAAAATTAATGTTTATAGATTGTCATTTTTTTTAATTATTTTCCAAAATAGCTTACTCATTTACTCTTCCACTAGAATATCTCTATTTTGCTTCATGCTGTCCGAGTTCTCTTTTTTATTGCTGTTAAACTATTCCTGTAATTACTTAATAGGGTTTTTTAAGTTTTATGACTACCAGTAGGTTTACATTTTCCACATGTTTGTGAACCATGTTATTTTTTCTCGTGTAAATTGCCTAATATCTTCTATATATTTACATATTTAGATATTAATGTTTTTCTTTTTATGCATATACATAAATTTATAAAAATTATTAATTGTCATATTAGCAGCATATTAATAGTATTCTGCAGTTTGAGTGTAATTTTGGTCATTTTTCATAGAATACATTAGCTTTTAATATTTATGTAATTAAATTCTATTTTTTATTTCTTCCATTGTTTTTAAGTTTAAAAAGTTATTCCCCATTTAATTACTTAATTAGCATAAAAATATTTTTTTTACTGATAACTTTGTGATTTAGTAACTACTCTTTCTCTCTCTGGAATTTAATTATGTACAGAATTTCATTTCTTTATTCAGCCAATATTTATTGATTACTTGATGATCTTGCAACACTTTTTTTTAAATATTCAATTTTGTGCTTCTCAAATTAGTATACTCTTGCCCTCAAGACAAAACATGAAATAAATCTGATAAATCATCTGAAAAAACTATTATTTTTTTATTTTCTTTTTTTCAGAGATAGAATCTTCAATGATCAGCTGCCTCCTGCATGCCCCCTACTGGGGAATCAAGCCCACAACCCGGGCATGTGCCCTTGGTCAAAATTGAACCCAGGACCTTTTAATCTGCAGGGCAATGCTCTATCTACTGAGCAAAACTGGCTATGGCTGAAAGCACTATTATTATTGGAAAGTTAGAAAATGTGCCAACTGGTGAATTATTTAAAAGATTATGGTGCATCAAAATCAATATGGATATGTTATTCAGTAAAATAAAAATAATCCCTCCGTCTTTTTTAGTAAACTTGAGGCTGTTTGTAGTTAAAGCAGACTGCTGTGAACTTCTGTGTCCTCATCAGGCAGGTTTCACGTTCATTCTCCCTGCTCTGTGGTAATGCTTCAGGATATAGTCCAAGAACTCTGACCCAAGCAATTGATACAAAAATGTTTTTTCTTTCTTTCTCTCTCTCTCTCTCTCTCTCTCTCTCTCTCTCTCTCTCTCTCTCTCTCTCTCTCTCTCTTGATACAAAAACATTTGAGGAATAATTCTGTTCTTCCTCATTAATTTAGAACTCCTCTTTTATTTTATTTAAATTCTTTTTTACTTGAGTTTGTTCCTTGCTTCTTTACTTTTTTTATTACTATGATTGGCTGCCACCATTTTAAAAGCTATCTATTTAGCCTGCCCAGTGCGGCTCAGTGGTTGAGTATCAACCAATTCAAATTCCTGGTCAGGGTACATGCTCGAGTTGCAGGCTCGATGCCTAGTAGGGGACACACAGGAGGCAGCCAATTGATGTTTCTCTCTATTGATGTTTCCATCTCTATATCCATCTTCCTTTCTCACTCTTTAAAAAATCAATAACATGTTTTTTTTTAATAAAATAATAAAAATTATACTAATAAAAGGGTAATATGTTAATTAGACCAGATGTCTTCTGGATGAGCATCTGGGCGTCCTTATGGATAAAGCCAGGGTGGCAGGGCAAGGCAGAGGCGTTTAGGGGTGATCAGGCAGGCAGAGTGGT